CGATTCCTCATTAGTCGAGCTGAGTTGGATCGACAACCGATGACATAACCTAAACTGCACAAGAACAGAGACAGCTCACGTCCATTGGCCTAATCAAAATTACACCTTGGATATACCCGCCCGAGAAATATTCTTCTCGTTGATCTTTGCAGACTGGCTCTCTTTCTTTCATTTAATAATGGGCTCAAGGTTTTATAAGATCAAGGTCACATCGCATCGCGTCTGCATGATGAATAAACTATGCGATATCTTACAGATTCGAGCATTAAACTAATGGGGAATTGGCTCCCATCTCGGTGCACGATAGTGGGGGGAAACCCTAGCTCGACTCCATACATTATTGGGAAGACTGATTAGGGTTTTCTTTAAAAATATAAAGGGAATGGATCAATCAGCTCTTGTTTTCATGAGGTCTATTGCGCCGGCCGCGGATGGAATGGGGACGCTGATGTGCATGTCACCAAAACACTCCGTCGCTTATTGTATGCGATTAAGGGTCTCTGATGCAGACATCTTCGATTATTGAAGAGAGAGTTTTCATGTGAACCGAACTAATCTATGGTTTTGGTGACAAATCAAGCGTGATTAAAGAAGTTTAGAGGATGGATCATCTGCATGTTATCTCGATGGGCACTTGCATTTTGAAAAATGGTCATGTCATTTTCCATTAGTTGGGGGTGGGGTACGAGCGAGGAAATCTCAGATTTTTGAAAAGGCCGTTCGTTTTCTTTTCGAACCCTAGAAAACCCTTAATTCTAATTCAACTCACTAAGGCATGGATCAATCAATGTTGGTCCTACTATATCATTGCTGACCATCGGCACTATAAAGTCTGCATGAAATGGTGCGATGGTGTCGATTCGTCAATGAGATGGTCGCGAGACTGATAATGAATTAATTTGCGTAAACTTAAAATGCCTTTTGAAACGTGCATCTCGGACAAGGGGAAAAGTGCCAAAAAAGTCCTAAACCTTTTGCAATAATGCCAGTTTAGTTCTAAACCTTTTTTTGGTGCCAATTCAGTCCTAAACCTTTGCATTGGTGCCAATTTAGTCCTAAACCTTTTTTGGTGCCAATTCAGTTCTAAACCTTTTAAATTGGTGCCAATTCAGTTCTAAACCTTTTGTTTTTGTGCCAATTTTGTCCTTCCGGCCAATTTTGACCAGAATTTGCCGACGTGGACGCCTGCCGGCCGGCGGCCGTCACCGGCGCCGACGTGGCGCTGACGTGGACAACTTTAATAATATTTTACTATTTTTTTGAATTTTTATTTTTTTTCCTTTTTTTCTTTTTTTTTTCCTTTTTTTTTTATGGGTTTCTCCTCCTTCCTCTGGCCGGTCGCCGGATCGGCGACCGGCCAGAGGCCAAAGGCCGGCGAGCTCGACCTCGCCGGCCACTGGCGAGGCTCGCCCTCACCGGCCACTGGCGAGGGCGAGCCTGGCCTTGGTCGAGCGAGGCTCGACCTTTCCAGATCCGGAGAGGTCGGGCCTCGCCCGACCATGGCGAGGCTCGAACCCTCGCCTGCCGGCCGGCAGGCGTCTATGTTGATAAATTCCGGTCAAAATTGGCTGGAAGGACTAAATTGGCACAAAAACAAAAGGTTTAGGACTGAATTGACACCAATTTAAAAGGTTTAGGACTGAATTGGCACCAAAAAAAGGTTTAGGACTAAATTGGCACCAATGCAAAAGGTTTAGGACTGAATTGGCGCAAAAAAAAGGTTTAGGACTAAATTGGCACTAATGCAAAAGGTTTAGGACTTTTTTGGCATTTTTAGCCTCGGACAAGTGTTGGTTAAGGAACACGTGTGAGGATGTTGATGAACGAAATCTCGAATTTCGAAAATTGATATGGTAACATTAACAATTTAATTGTTTCATAACTCAACGAGTTTAAAGCATCCATTTCATGCTTTGAGTAAATCAGATCCATAATAACTGTAGTTTGGTAGATTTTGCAATCAAATCACCGGATTTTTAGTTTCGATTGCCCATTACAATATAAACTTTCAATTTTTCTTTTTGCAAAATGAAGCACTTTGACAAGAATCTGGCAAATTTCCAACAAGCCATGGACGTGGTAGACGCCATGTCATTGTAACGTGCACAACGCGTATTAATTTCGTGGGAAAATAATGACAACAATATGATCAAAGTCAATAGTGTACTGAGTGATTGAAGTCAAAATTGATGTAGCTAGCAAATATCACCTAGAGGGAGAGTAAATAGGTGATCTAAAACTTTTGATCAATTTTTTAAAGCGGAAACAAATGATCAAGATTAAAGTTTGAAACACATTCATAATCTGAGCAGATTTTATGGATAATGTACTAGTGTGCAGTATAAAAGATAGAATAAGAGTTTAGGGATAGAAAAACCGCACACAAGAAATTATAGTGGTTCGGCTTAGATCAAGCCTACGTCTACTCTTCCACGCTGACAGCCTACTGGCTAGATTCCACTATGTGATCAAGAGAGATTACAAGTTGTGAGTGATATCACTCTGTGAATGATAGAACTATTTATTTCACACAATCACTCTTACAAAATATCCCTTAAAATCTCAGTATTTGGCTCAAGAATGACAAGTAGTAGAATCGGAGTATGTTCAGACTTTAGACTTGTAAATTCTAAAACTTCGTTCTAACTTTTGCTCCTTGTTAATTTTCTTTTATACTCCTCCACTTCCAAATTAGCCGTTGGACAGTTTTCAGAGGATCATCTTCCAATCTTCAACTTGGATATATTTGTATAAAATCGATTGAGTAGCTCTTGGTTGACAAAATCTGAATCCCTGAATCTGGTCACCCATACAACCAAAATCTTAGTTTCCATAAGTAGAGTTTTATTCGTTGTGAGATATACTTGTCTTAATGTTGATTGTCAATCGATTTAGGACAATTTTGCATTATAAACTTTCCTTGCAAAATAGTCTTTTAAGATCGAATCAATCAAAACTTTCCTTCTGTAAAATCCACGCCAAATCGCTAGTCGTTATGTACATTCCGAGTAGTTTCAGAATCTGGATAACTTCTGGTTCTTGCTTCACATTTAGAACTTAAATCAGTCTGGGTCTTTAGTAAGGTCTGGACCTTTTAGAAGTAAAGTCCGAAGTTCTTCATCTGCTTAATATAAAGTCTAAATGACTTTTACAGTAAAGTCTGAAGTCTTCCTTCTGGTCCTCGTAGAATCTGAGTACCCAGAAAGTCTAATTCTCTCAAAGCATTGGAATTGCCATTTCCAGAATATATCTACCTGGATCAAAATACTTGAGAGTATTTATCAGGCTTACAAAATTCACATGGACAGTTTTGTCAACTTCAAAATATATTAGGAAGTTTCCTTAACAAAAATTCAATTGCTTAATTGCAAATGTCACCAAATTTCAATTACCATGGAGGAAATTTACTCGTTTATTTTAGATTAAAAGAGGCGTTATTGCTTTCCTTTCAAATTTTTAATATGATAAATTTCATCTTTGAATGACAGTTTTTGCTCTACTTCGATTTGCTTTACTGTGAAATTTATGTATTTGTCATGTATGAGCAATGAATACAATTTTCTTTAGATAAAAAAAAGGAATGATAGATTTTACCGGTATAATAAGTCCTAAACTTATTGTACGACGGCCAATTTAGCCTTAAACCTTTTAGTTTGACTAATTTAATCCTCAACCTTTAACAATTTGCTAATGTAGTTCTTCCCATCAATTTTGGTTGAAAATTGATGACGTGACGGTTCAGTCCGTGCCGACCCTCCTACAAGGCATGACTAGTACTGATGTGGACTCTTTTTGCATTTTTTAAAATTTTTCTGATTATTTTCTATTGTTTCCTTTTTTTCTTTTGTTTTACCTTTTCTTTTTTCTTTTTTCCTTATTTCCATCCGCTAAGCAAGGGCCACGATGCCCTCGTTGATCATAGGCAAGGTTCTCATTGGATTTGGTGAGGGCAACCCTCACCAGTCCTTGCCTGTGGCTGGTGACCTCCGCGGGCCATCATCAAGTCTCTAGCTACCTGCGAAGGAAAATAGGAAAAAAGAGTCAGAAAATTAAAAAAAAAACCGCAAAAAATGACAATGTTAGTGATTTCTGGCCAAAATTTATCAAAATGACTATATTGATAAATCGTTCAAAGGTTTAGGATTAAATTGGCCAGATTGAACAATTCAAGATTGAATTGACTGTCGTATAGTAGGTTTAGGTTTTTTTGGACAATTTTGCCTACCGGCACATGTTGGTGGTTTAAGTGGACGGTACGACACTTTTCTTCGAAAAAAATATTTTGTATGTCAGTGTGAGTGCTTTAAAAGATTTCAGATTTTCAACATCGAATTAAAAATTAAATTTGAAATGCTACAAGTAACAGATAAAGGAAAATAAACCTTAAAAATCACTTGAGACAAACCTGTAAGGTGAGTGAAAGTTATTCCAATAAGTTTTGCTTTTCTTATGATGAGAAGAAGATGAGCTTCTCATCTTAGATAGATAAACCCCGAACTAGGCAATATGCAAATTAAATCCTAAATAACTGGGTCAAACATGGATTGTTTACACATGATAGAGCGGAAAATCTACCCTATATTGTGCGTTCCATCTGCACAAATCGCTCTTTAATCACTAATTTAACCTCAATTTATTAACCTTGAATTTTTATTTCTCCTTTTCCAGTTTCTTTCCACCTATTTTCCATTTTTTTTACTAATTATCTCCGCTCACCCTAAAATTATTTCCAAATACCGCATGATGGCCATAGTGGGCCTGAGTGAGCCTCATGTGAACAAAGCTTGGCAATCAGTAGCTCTCTAGGCTCGGCCCAATTGACACCCTCAAACAAAGTTCCGGATAATTTCATGAGCATATATCATTGTTAGGTAGACGGTTCAATGGGGAAAATTTCGATTACATAGCTTACTTCAAGCATACATGTCACTCATCTAACGATGCCGTGCGTTGTTTCTAATACGACGGTGGACCTAATAATAATTGCATCGATTGTCCGATGTCGATAGGAGAATCTATTCGTAAATGAAAGAGGGTAAAGAATAATATTTTAGATACACTTTCTAATGTCACAAGAACATGATGGAGCAGCTTAACTGGGTTTTGTCCAGCATTTCCTCCGGTATTTTGATTCAGCATCCTTCTTGACCCAAAAACACTCTCGTCAGCTGTACAATCAAATCAAATAACTCAAAAGGAGTGACCTTGATCTAATGTATACCTACGTCTCCAAACCTCTGTCTAGTGACGACAGGGTTCTTCGCTTCCTTCGTTGCGATTGTCTGTATGTACAACTTTGTGCGCGTCTCAACACGGTTTGCCCTTTACGCAGTCGAGGGCACCTGCGAAGCGCGTGAGCCTCGTCACGAATGTACCCGGCTTTGCCTTGATCACGTTGTTCTTGTTGACGTTCCGGATTGGGCTCCCGGACTCGACAAAGAAGGCCCCGTTCAGCATCAGGTCGTCCTCCGATCTCCATGTCCACGACTTCCACATACTCTCAGGCGCATAGTCCCTCTTGGTCACCTGACCAAAGCCCATATATGGTTTGTCATTCAGATCACAGAGATGAGATTATCTTTTGGAGACACAAACTCAGAATATTACTCAAATGTACATGCACCCGTGCCGTGACATTATCATTATAAGTGTGCACAGTTTCCTGTTCTAGTGTTTAAAACCTTCACGTGCGCATGACTTTGATTCATGTCCAGGGAGATGCACGATAAAGAATTGCAGACTCGTGCTACGAGCAATGTGAGTAGGCAGAACTAATCACAACCCGAGAAAAATGTCGAAACATGTGTCGTTTCTCTTCTTTCTGGGTAGTCCAATGTATACCGACTCCGACTACATGTTAATGTATACACGAATCGATTCAACAGAACGTGTCTATGCAACAATTGATTAGGATATGACTTTATGATAGATGAAGCACAAATTTAGGGTTAATGCTGAATGTGGAGACAGTGGTTGATTAATTACCTCCTTACAATCTGGATCCAAGGGGGCAATGAAACGATTGCCCTGGCTGATGATGGTGGGGTGCTGGCTCCCACCGATGGCATACATGAGCCAATGAGTGTAGTCATTGTTGACCACATGAACGAAGCCCCACCTGCACCTCGGCATCCTCTGGACCAGCCCTTGCCCAAAGTGGTTGAACGCCACTGTTATCTGCATGCGTGCATCATCCGAGTAGCTGTCGCTCCCCCCAAATAGCATCACCTATGCGCATTCCCCCATATTTGTTAGTTGATCATACGCATGTTGATCGCAAAAAATTTGGTCATCACGTGGGGATTTCACCGACCCTTTGTCAATCTTACTTCTTACCTCGTTGTGCCTGGTGAAATGGCAGTTAGATATGGTGACGGCGGTGGACGCCTCGATCGCGTCGATCAGTCCGTCGTAGCAGTGCGACATGGACACGTGGTCGATCCAAACGTTGGTGGCACCGAACAGGGAGATGCCGTCGCCGTCGCTCTGCGTGCGGACTCCGAAGTGATCCAGAGAGTCCCTGATGAGCCCGCCGTTCCCGGGGTGGGTGTCGTGGATGTGGATGCCGTGGATGATCACGTTCTTCACGAACTGCAGGGTGATCTGGGCCCCATCGCAGATGTGCACATTGGTGCCGCGGCCGTCGATCGTCTTGTTGTCCGTCATGATGAGCTCTTCGGAGAGCCGGATGACCATGTTGTGGGCGAATATGATCCACAACGGTTCGGGCTGGATCACGCCAAAGCGTAGCGTTCCGGGTTTGGGGTTCAATAGGTTGTCATCGGATGGATCGGTCACCTTGTAGATCTTTCCGGCCTTGCCTCCCGTGGTCCCACGGCCAAAGCCAAGGGCACAATTGGCCAGCCTCTTGCGGTGGTTGGCCCAATCTTTTCGGCATCGCCAGCACCGGTCGATTGGGTTCGTGGCCAAGCATCCGCCCTTAGATCTCTTCAAGCTCCTCCTTGTGTTATTACTCTCATGCATGTCCCTACGCCATGATCACTTCAATTACGCATATCAATTGGAAACAAAGAGATCTGTTCATCTAGGAGATAAGAAGAGATAAGATTGAACGAGTCTAATTTTAAGAGAGACAATCTAAGACCTGAAAAACGAATACAGACCAACATACGTGCTTACGTTGTTTGTGTTATTGCGAATAATCCGAGACATCCATTACAAGTTCGATCCATTTTCGAAACTACGAAGAGGGAAGTAGACTGAGCACAACAGAAACACATACTGTTATTAATTTATGCTTCACAAGGTGATTAATAACATAATGTCGGATAACTATTCCAAAATTTGCTCGCATCTCTCGTAACTTTTGCGTGCGTGCGTCTTTACGTGGGAACCATTGCTCGCCAAGAAAGAGAGAGTGCTTACTCATGCACGCGTTGGTTGAAATCCTCGGCCACCTTACCCGGGTCGGGCTCATAGGCCTCCATGGCAGCTTTCTTGGCTTCTTCGGCTCGCTTCTGCCACACCTCGTCGAAGTCGGCGATGTTGGCTCTCAGAACCGGGACCGTCACCGCGAGGAAAGCAAATGCAAACACCAGTTTGTGATCGAGAGCTCCCATGGTGATCTGCTATACGTTTGCTTCCGCACGTCCTTTCTTCAAAAATCTCTCTCTAATTGCTCTTTTCTGTTTTCCTTTATAAGAGGATAATACATCTATGGGGAATGAATCACAATGCGTCCAGGGTTTCCATCGAGGCGAGGATCGAAAGTTCAAAAATATTGTCAATGGCCTTTATTGGATGTTTTATAGCAAAACCACGAATCCAAATCGAGAGAGGGAATGGATAAAATTGAGAAGTAGAGAGAGAAGTGTGGGGAGTCACTTCCTCCTGACCTTTTATGCCTCTTTACTTTGTTTAGCCTGTGGAGCTTCTTGACATATAGTCATATTAGGTCCACACACAACCAATGGGGAGAGAATTTTTGGCAGGCTCTTTGTATTTATTTAGATGAGTGGCCAAAGTTAGTTCTAATTAAGTATTCTTCTTGTTGCTTGATTTGATTACATTGACGTAAGAATAACTATTCTTTCGTCTTTTTTGTTTTTTTTGTTGATGTGGGGTATTAATGATGTTCCTATAATATGAATTAAATACAAATTTTGGTGTTGTTACGGGATTCGTTCCTAATGAATCAATATTATTTCTCTTGTGCGCGAGATAATTTGGAGAAAACATGCTATTTCGGGAAACATTTGAAAGACACGGGAAATCCAATCAAATGCAGAAAAATCAGGATGGAGCAAACTGGTTCAGCAAAAAATTCCAGGACGGAGCGAATTCGTCCCGATAAACACTTCACGTTTTGGGGACGGTCCTGTTCGTACCCGCATCGGGTATCGGGGACCATTCAAATAAGCAAAAAAGGGACAACGGGTGCGTTTAATTCGGCATTTGCGAGGGGCTTTCGGCCTCCAAAGTCCCCGGGGAAAATTAACATCCTCTAAGGAACATTCAGGAACGAATAAGAACTGCATCGCCTCTGTGGTACTCTTTAGCATACAAAACCCGATAAGAGCTTTTGCAAAGGTACATTTTGCCATTGATTCTTTACAAGACTATACGAGACAATGAACATCAAAAACCATTTGTAGATACAGAAGAAACCCAGAAAGAAGATAAGATGAGAGGTACAGTGAAGCTGTATTGGATATGTAACACTCTCATTCGTAATCTTCAGGCTGAGCAAAAGGGTACTTGAGATATGAATTCTTGACTTTTGAAGGATCTTCAGGAGTTGACCATGGATACTTCAGTGATGGATCACGCGGGAACTTTCTGTTGTTCACGAATGGTGCCCATAGCAACACCCTGCCAAACACATGGTGGAAAACAGCAAAATTCATCCGTACAATAAGAACATTCCGAGGAAATTGTCGTTGAATGTAGAATATGGTTTTAGCGGGTGAAACGAGAATATGAATCGAATTCGCCCCCTTGAAAACCAGAAACATAAGGACTGATGAAGCGGAAACTAGAAGGAGAGTGACAAGATGATAGTGTGGAAGTCGAACTTGACACAACCGAGACTAGAAATGGAAAGAAACGCGATTGAGATCTGAACCAGTTTCATTTAACCATGGACCAAATTATGTAGCAGATAGGTTGCACCCGATGACCTAAACTGACAGAACAAGCGCCCGCCATCGATGTTAATGAAAGTATTTTCGAACGAGAACCAGAATTAACTCAGGCGAGATTATAATCGTTGTTTATATGATAAACATGAAAGGCACTCACCCGGGGAAGAAAATGAAGACGAACATGAACTGCAAATACATCTCAAACAGGTTCCTCTTGTACCACCTTAACCTCAGCCAGTTCATAATGATTGGCTGCCATTTCCCGGACGTAAGAAATTGCAAATGGAATCAAAGATGACGGTGGTTGAATCAAGCAATTGTTCACCAAAACAATTCAAATCACTCACCGGCATGATGAGGAAGTACCCAAAGGCCACAATCCCGAGCTGTATCAGAACCCAAGTGAAATCTTCCTCGTTGTTCACTCCTGTCACCGCAATCGCAGGCTGCTCAAACTGTAACATATTGTGCAAGATCAAATAAACAAAGCAAGACCCATTAGACCCTTTTCAGTCTCGGACAATTTGTAAGATTAACCAATGCAATTGTATGTGGCAGACGTGGGTTGGATAAGGGTAGTACAGTAGTAGTGGCCAGAAATGCTCCGACTTGAATTGCCAAGGCAGATTTTTGCAGGCCAGTTTTGTCCGAGCAATCCCGGATGATCCTTGCCAGCGCCTTGGAATGCAATCAAGATCGCGAAAAGAAGAAAACCCATTACATCGAAGGGCTGACAGTTTCGAAAAAAGGCATAAAGGAAAGGTGGGATTCACTTGTCACCTGGTTTGGAGCGGCATTCTTAATCAGCGAAGGCTTGCGAAGGCAAGCGATGGAGGGAGGCTTTCTGGGTCGAGATGGGGAGAGAGAGGGGAGAAAGCGAGCGTGAACGTGAAGGACTCGAGAGCTTAACGCGAAGCTCATGGTGAGCTCTCAGCTTTATCTGTCTCTTTCAATCTCTCTGTTCAGAGTAGAGAGCGAAGGTGGTTCGTCTTTATCTTCTTGGGCTGTTTTTGGTTCCATGGCGCAGGATGCACTGGAAATCTTATTTCAAGTTAGAAAGGGAAGGAAAGAATAACTTGTCGATTTACCTAACTCATTTCCAAAGTTTCTCAATGTAATCCCCTAAATAACCTCGATTTGAGTTTGAGTTACTCAAACCAAATCCTTAAACGCATGCCGTTTGAGCAACGCTGAAATCATATACAAAAAGTTTCGGCTGTGATGGAGCTATTCGGTATTTACAAATCGAGGGAAACTGAAGCGATTTTCGGTTCGTGTGATGATAAATCAAGATAGAGTTTAGTAGACTAGGCCGAATGACGCTCTCCATGTATCTTATACTGAATTTGGGCAATTCATATTCTAGGAAGACCATTGTGTGTGTACGTGCATGTATATTTGAGGACTTATTTTTTAAAAAAAAAAATTGGGCTATATGGCCTCATTAAAATGCTACATGTAGCTTTGATTAGGCCTAATCTGAAACTTCAAATGGGCTCAAAAACTGGCCCTTGTCCTTCAATGTGTGAAAGGCCGATTCGGTCCCCATTCGGCAGCGGTGAACCCAATCTAATCCCTTTCCCTTGTCATCGATTAAAGGATGTAATAGAATGTCCATTGCAATTCTCATCATAAAATAGCACACATTTTCCTAAGTGTAACCTCTTTCTAAGGGATGTATTGGGCAATTGACTCTACTATTTCGGAATCCTACGTGTTTTTTTCTTTTGTTAGCAATCGCTGTCAGGTGATCGAGTCAGCTCTTGTGCATACCGACCGGCCCATCTCCTCAGGCGAATATAGATGCCCGTTCCATCCGATTCATCCTTTCATTTCTTCGTACCGGATGTGTCCCCTGTCAGTATGCAGACATGGTAAAATGAAATTAACCATTTTGACCGTATGTATTCGTTTTCTCAATTAGTTAATGATCAAGTGCAAGATTCACAACAGTTTCCTTAGGGAAAACTATACAATTTCCGGGAAAACCCCAACCAATCCCTGTCAATTACGAAGTGTTGGAAAGCTAGTTTTATGTTATTTAACCTCGCTGCACCAATGCATCCATGCATGCAAATACGTGTCCGAGGCAGGACGGCCAAAACTATGGATTCCAACCAAGGCATGTCGAGCGACACTTGCACAGCATATCGCACGATATCACCAGATTTATTGCGCCATGTCGCTCTTTGGATGCGCGAAAAGAGGCTCAATTAATGCTCAATTAATGGGTGATCCCATATTAAGCTTTATCAGTTTATAAAAAAAATAGTGGGGGAAAGCGAAAATATAGGAGGAATCAGGGAAAAGGATGCAAATTAAAAAAGATAAAGGTGATAGATGTTCTTGATTTTCTTGTGATGATGGGGTCTTGATGTTATGTCTGCCCCACTGCCTCAACGCTCTTAGATCGCCATCATTGCAACATTCAATTCATTACTTATTTGAGTTTTAATCTCCCTCCTTCTTTTCCCCCCCTATAGTTTTTGTCATTCTGTCCTTTAAAAAATTCGAACACTCGCTCTTTTATTTCTGCCGACATAAGATCAATAAGAGTTCCAACAGCTCACGTTAGAATACTGTCTTTTATAAATTGAATTCTCTTTAATCAGAAGTCAAAAATTGGAGGATTGATTGTTTAGATAGTCGGCCAGGTGACCAATGGCGATGCACAAGATATGTGGGATATATGCTTGTCTATTGTCCAGGAAATCTCGAAAAGAGTTTCATTGATTCTCCTGGATTGCTTTTATTTATCCCGGAAATTTTTCAGATGTTTTGTGTTAAATAAAAAACCAAGTTGCGAAAGTGACGGGCTTCAATAACTAAGGTAGAAAATTAATGTCACTCCAGAGATCTGTTACAGGCTCGTAATTTATAAGCTACGAGGGATTGGAACATGATCGGAGTGACCGAATCGAAACACCGAGTCGGAGTCTCACACGGCGGCTTACTTTGTGATTTCGGTCCGGCACTGAAAATAATGTGGAAATTTCAACATTCGTACACACTAATCCATTGGATTAACATAATAGGCAAAATATGTCTCTTTTTTTTTCAACTTTTTAAAAGGCTTGCATCTACATGAATCAAAGTGTAACGTAGATCTACCTAACAAATAATTCTATTTTTGTGATAGTAATAAAATATATTAAAAAGAGAGCGTCTCCTATAATTTCAGTGTCGAATGTCCCCTAAAGGGCATGTCTCTGAGCAAAGGAAAAGGTCACTAAACTTTGGTGTGCGTTTATATATATATATATATATATATATATATATATATATATATATATATATATATAACTTTAGTATATATAACTGATAAATGTGTACCGCTCGCATCGACGGACCGTCATGATTGTCGCCGGAGCATATGCACAAGCACGTAGTTATGTTACCTTCATTTCTGCTTAATTTCATGTCACTTAATTTTGTATAAACATTTTTGTAGCATCTGAGCTAAATCACATGCTGTTGTAATAAAAAGAAAAATTAATCGTATTTTTATTTTATGGAGCTCAAAAAGCTGATAACTTTAAGTACGACGCTATGAAAAAGAATATTTTTTTTTCCACAACTGTAAATTTTCGAAGGAATTGATAAAGAGTAAAAGAAGTTGTCGGTCATCTAATTTTCTAGTAACTTGTTGATAACCAACCAAGATTTTTGTGAAATTGTCAACTCTTTTTTATAGTATGCAAATTATCAATATTTCTTATCTTTTTACCAACTTTTATTTTCCTTTTTTACCGGCACCTTACATTTATTAACTCTTAATATGAATTTACCAATCTTTATTTGAGTGACTTGCCAGCTCTTTTCCAATTAAATCACCAACTAATTTTGTGTTACCAACTTTTATTTAAGTTACTTGTCCACGTTAATTTGGTTTTTTAAATTGATTAACTTTTCTTATCTTTTAACAACTTTTATTTGTCTTTCTTATAAATGTTTTAAATTTAGCAACTCATATTTGAATTGACCAATCTATATTTTGTGTGATTTACCAACTTTTTGCCCATTAAGTTACCAACTGGTTTACCGAGTCTCATTTGAGTTGTTTACTAGGTTAATTCTTCTTCTTCTTCTTCTTTTAATTTACCAAGTTTTCTAATTTACTAATTTTTATTGGTCTTACTTATCAATACAGTACCTTTTTAACCTAACCCTATTTAGAAATTACCAACCTTAATTAGAGCGACTGCCAACTTTACCAGTTGAGTTACCAACTTATTTTGCTTATCATCTTTTATTTTAGTTAGTTATCAACATTTTTTTTTTGAAATCAATAACCTCTTTTTATCTCTAATAAGCAAATACATTCTCTTATCTTTCACGATCTTTTATTTACCTTTTTTACGAAAATTTTAAGTCTACCAACTATTATATGAAATTGTAAATATTTATTTGAGTGACTTACCAACTTTTCTTCAATTAAGCAACTAACTTGTTGTGAGTTATCAACTCTTATTTGAGTTGCTTACCAACATATGTTTGGTTTTCATATTCAGCAACATTTCTATTGAGGGTTACTTTTATTTGCCTTACATGCCAATTTTTAGAGTTTACAAATATATTTTTAGAAATTACCAACCTCAATTAGATTGATTTCCAGCTTAAGTTACCAACTAATTTCCGTTACCAACTCTCATTTGGGTTGGCTACCAATCTTTATTCATTTTTTTAAATTTTTTGTTTCTCTTATCTCTAACAAAAAGAATTCCCTCATCTTTTATCAACTTCTATTTACCTTTCTTACCAAGATCTTAACTTTTCTAATAATTATATGCTTTTGTAATTCATTAACTATTCTCCAATTAAGTTACTAATTAGTTTTGGGTTACAATCTCTCGTTTGACTAGCTTATTGGCTTTGTACCATCTAAACACGAAAGATTGGTAATTGCATATAATTGTTTGTAAAGTTAAGCCGCTGGTGCGAGAGGTAAATAAAAGCGAATAAGAGCATGGCAACACTATTTCAGCATGAGTTAATATGCCACATTAACATGTTAATGAAATAAATAAGATTAACTGTAGAATTTGTATTGAACTTTGATACCAGACCTTAGTCTCTCAATTCATGGGGAGGGTGGCACCATAACTTTTTCCTAATAACTTAATATGCAAGCTTGGCTTTAGAAATCCAAGTGTTTTTGAACAAATTAATCTTATGGTTGTAAATGATCAATAAGTCATAACAAAAAAGGTCTCGTAGTCGTGAAATGGGTCATGCAGAGTACGACAGCTGAACCATCTCCATGCTTAAAAGCATTTATCACAAACATATATCAAGGGAGGGCCCATAATTTTTGCTATGCATCGATCATCCTCTACCTTCTATATTAAGTCTTACATTGAATGATGCGTAAGTTACATCTTAGCATTTTACGGAATTTCGGTAAATAAATTTCGTGAATAGAAACCACCGTAAAACTTTTTAATTAAGACGAATATAAGGCATGATCAATTTAAACGGCAAATCGAATAAATTTTTTGTTACTAAGTATTATCTGTTATCCTCCCTAAGCCTCCATAGTGTACCCGATTTGGTCCCCCTTGTAACTAGTTATTAGCTAATCTAAACAACAAGATGTTCAAGAAAATTCACCAATTTCCAAATTCTATAATAATAATAATAATAATATGATTCTAGAAGATTAGAAACTCCCCAAGTAATGATGCCACTCGAATAAAATGCCCTATAAAATAGGCAAACATGCTCTTGCCCGCAAGCGGTATGAATGCCATCATGGTGAACATGTAGATACGGGGCCCATTAATTTGTATTATATAATTACAAATTAAATACAAGATTAAACAAGCTTCGTGTAGTTATAATTACTACATCTGTGGAGAAATAAATAAATAAATATATGCCTTTATATGAAAGCAAAGCAAAGCCGCTCGACTGGTCCCGCCCTCCAATTCGGACCACGATGATCCGCCAGTGACCGCCATTGGCCAAGTCTTTGCACTCATCCTTCTTAGTTCTTCCTTAATCAGTCGTCATATTTGAAACTTTCTCCTCTTTTTCTTTGCTTTATTTATCACTATTATCATATAAAAGAAGTGAAGAGACGCGTGCACAAAACGGTGGACCATTCGAAGTGAACATGGGGCCATGAGAGGGCGCCTAAAAAATCAGGGGAAAAAATTAAATTAAACGAAGGTTAATAAAACCTTTTGATTATTCAAATATGTGTGGTGGCCACACATAGCTGTACGCCCCATTTTTTTTTTAATTTTCCCATTTAAAAAATTATATATGAGCAGGAAATTTGGGGTGGTTTGGACAATCATTCGGATTTGGTCCAAAAACATGTGAGTTGAAAGCGAATTAAAGAGGAAAAGAGGGGAAACAGATTGTCTGCGTACTTTATGGGATGTTTTCTTTAGCTCATTTAGAAAAGTTAATTAGGCTTTAATGTGCAATTCAAGAATCCAACGAAACGCGCGCCTAATTCCAAACGAAATTAACACCTTAAAATATCTATCCCGTATATTTTTTTAAAAAAATGATAGCATAGTTATTGTTCTCAGAAAAAAATATTTCATGACATCCCACTTATAAGTTTTCGAATCCAAACATTCTTTTCCTGCATTTTTTTGATCATATTAGTGGCTCAATCTTAGGATAGTTTCCAAGCAATCCTAAAGGCTACAATGTTAGGAAAGGATATCTAAATAAAAGTAATAAGCAGCTAATTAAACTAGCCTAGGATTCAAGGAGTCTATCTATACCTAGATATAAGGATCTGAAAAGACATACGGATTCATGAATAGATGCTTCAAGAAAAGCAAAAGCAATTTGAAGGGACAAAGCACAACAAAAGTTGACAAGCATCCCCTCGAACAGGACGGACATGCCGATTGTCACCGTCACCAACTCAAAGCAATTGAACTGAAACATGTACAGAAAAAAGAATACTAATAATAACAACAGGATTCCGTGGTAAACATGTTTCTATATTTTAGATTATGTTCATATTGATTTGAGATTTCATGGATAATGTGAATGAATCTTTTGTTGGAAATGAGAAGCAGATGAAGAATTCAGGTGATTTAGGTAGGGTTGGGCGGTGCAGCCCCAGACCACCCCTCGCATGATCTTGGAAAAATAGACCAAGAAAGGCTAGTGATTTTGTTGACCTAGTTTAGTCTGTATTTATGAATTTTTGTTGCTTTCCCATTTTCGTCAAGATGAAGATGACGAGAGTGTGATCGTGCAAATGGAATTTGACACACCACTTTTATCGCTTCCAACCTTAGGACGGCTATGACCAAATCTCGAGATATATAGTCTACAAGAATTTGTATTTATATTAGTGAGCCAATTATTCGAGCTATATATACTAATTTAACAAAACCAAAAGGTGATTGAAAGCATATTAAGAAAATTAGTAGGGGAAATTTCAAATAAAGGTATAAAGTATGATGGTTTTTTTGAAAGAGGGTTCGGAGTGAACATTGTTTCAAATAATATCTTGAAATGGCCAATCTAGTTTGAAATAAGGTCTCCAGCTCACCGGTCAGCTAAATCTTTGCCAGCCAGCGAGCCCGTGCATCTTTAATACAATATGCATTAATGTTCACCCAACACCAATATCATCTTTTCCTAAATTTCCCTACAATACTATGATCTAGTTAGCGTTTGCAAGATTATGAATCAATGAAACTTATACCCTATCAATAAGATAGACTCACACCGGGAGAAAATTTAAAAGTTACCTAGATTGGGGAACCTTTTGATTTGATTTTAGCTCTGGTGCAAAAACTCATCATATTTGGTAACTTACTCAATTTCATACGACGTATATTAGAAAACTCAATTATGTCATTGGTAGCAACTATATCTTCTCCTCTTTATCTGTGACGATAGCACGCATTGAGTCACGTTTTCATATTTTCATCTCTTCTATCTATACAAGTCTTTGCATCTATGGAAGAAGCCACAGGTATTTCAATTGGTCACACTTTTTTGACACTCACATCTTTCAATTTGCTAAAGCACTATGGTGCGATATGGCCATGACATATCTTTTCCAGATTAATAAGATTTTTGAGGTACAAACGCTCTAAAATCATTAAAGTAGCGAGAGGGAGGCCAATGGATGAATTTGCAAGGTACTTGCTTGAGGGGTTGTTGCGAATGTCAAGATGCTTCATTTCTCGAAATATATGGGTGCGCAACTTTTCTTCTTGAAATCTCTAAACCCGTCCAAATGCATGTATTCACTTTTCCGCAGAGTTTCCTAAACTCATTCTCTTGAAAAGATGTTATTGCACAGTTTCAATTTGAGCTCCTTGGTTCTCCAACTTTTAGATCCCCTCCCGTAAACATTTGATACTGCGATCCAAAATCTGATCAAGTCCCCAAATTACAGGTCATCTTCCTCCAAGAGTATGATGCGATCACTAATCGATATTTTCAAGGGTGGTTAGCTTTGTTATACTCTAGCATTACATGATTCTGAAAATATACCATCCTCCCCATCCATCAATCGAAACCTCTTCTTGCAATGAGGATAGTTCAAGTCTAGCAATTTACAATCTTAGATGGCACACTCGCAGGCAAACACAGACGAATTTTTTTTTGTATTTCAATGTATTGATTACGATATGGAACACCACCTCGAGTTAAAATAGTTTTCAAGTTCTTGAAGCAGAGAGACTAGAGACTATATGCTCTGCGCTCAGAACAATCGAGAATGTCATTAGTATCTCTCATGCTCTCTCCTTTTGAAGTAACGCTGCATCCATTAAAAATTTTATTCACATTTTGTAATACTAGATGACTCGATTCGAAAATTTCAGCGATATCGATCGATCAAATATTTTAATACATGATTCGAAAGACAACACTCAGCGAAAGTATTAAATTATTTTCACACGGCTTCTTCCTCTAAAGGTGGTAAACGCATAAAAATAGAGGCATCTCTTTTTATGATAAATTGTTTGCGCATGATCTAACCAAGGAAGCATCTTTGAGGGGGGGAAAAAAGGGGAAAAAAGAAGAAAAAAAAGACTTTGAATTATGAAAGAAGCACCGGCAATGGCATCATCAGTTGGGCCCCCCCCCCACACACACTTTTACTTTAAGACTGGCCACCAATTTAGGGGCATGGCTGGTGGGCCCACCCATGACCCCCGCCCCTGTTTTTATTTTCATCGACTATACTATTTAAATTTCGTCATTTAATTTTTGGCCGTAAAAGGTGGAAATTTTTGGCCGAGACTAAGGGTTTGTGAAGAGATTAGGGTGATAAGATGACCAAGATTTACTATGATCATGCCTTGCATCGACGGCCAAAATGTTCTTCCAAACCCTGAGCGATCTTGAGATCAAGATATGATTAAATTACGAATGATTATTCACGGCATAAGCGTCTAAACCGTGCTAATTTTTCTTAATCCATAGAAAAAAATGTGATGGGCTCCTTGGGAAAGTACTGCCTATAGTTAGATTATATAGAATAGGACTATAGGAGAAACCCCAAAAAAAAACATAAGAGAAAAATTATCAAGATTATATATATATATATGTAATATGTATAGGTATTTCTGATATCTTCTCTACTACAGTAAAAATAGGGAAGGCAGCTGTGAGATCTAGAGAATTTTAATGCTTACTTCACTTTGTCAAAAGTGGCTTAGATGATGCTGCCAAGACATTCTTTTTAAGTTTTTCCCCTGTCAAAAGAATGACTTCTCCCCTCTGTTTCTCCTTCTGACTGCTCTGTCTCCTTCCTCATCCTCCTTGAAAAACCATTCACATCTCTCTCTCTGTCTCTCAACACCATCTTCTCTGCAAAAACTCTGTATTACAATCCTCTCTCTCTCTCTCTCTCTCTCTCTCTCTCTCTCTCTCTCTGTATTCTGTACAGTACATATTGATCGTCATCTCCAATGGCAGCCAACAAGTTTGCGACCATGGTTCACAGGAACACCAACAAGATGACGCTCATTCTGATCTACGCCATCCTTGAATGGACCCTGATCAGCCTCCTCCTCCTCAACTCTCTCTTCTCTTACATCATCGTCCGCTTCGCCGATTACGTCGGCCTCAAGAGGCCCTGCCTCTTGTGTTCCAGGCTCGATCACCTGTTCGAGCCCGGCAAGACCAAGCTCCATCACAGAGGCCTTGTCTGCGAGAGCCACGCCAGCGAAATCTCCAGGCTGGTCTACTGCTGCAATCACCAGAAGTTAGTAGAGCTCCAAGACATGTGCGAGGATTGCTCGTCCTCTTTGCAAATCGGCCCGACTAAGAATGATGATGATGAGAAGGTGAAGTGTTGTTGCTGCTGTGGAGCGGGCGTGGCGAAGAAATCCCACTTCTCTCCCTGTGCTTCAATCAAGTCTTGTTCCGATAATCTTGATGATACCCAAAAGGGATATTTTGTTACAGAGGCAGAGGATGGCGAGGATGGAGATTTTGGGAGCGGATCGGAGTTGTTTGTGAAGGAAGGCACTCAGGGGATTGAAGAAACTGCCAGATTTGTGGTGGTTTCTGAAGATTGTCAAGTATATGGGAATGTTAAGGTGGAGCCAGAGGAGGAGGACGACAAGTCTTCGTCGCCTTCATCAGAATCCGGTGTCAAGGAAATGGTGGAGAATGACGATGGGAAGGTCGAACTGGTGGCTGAGAAGGAGTGCGAAGTCATTGCCGAGGATGATAGGAATGTGTTCATTGTTGAGAGGCATGTGTCTGATGAGACAGATCAGAGCATGCTTCAGTTCGGTGGCGGAAAAGGCCAATCGGCGGCCATCACCGAGCTCTCGTCTCGCCACTTGGAGTTTGTGGAGGTTTCTGAATATTGTCAAGCATATGGGGATGTTAAGGTGGAGCCAAAGGAGGAGGAGAACAAGTGTTCATCGCCTTCGTTAGAGTCTGGTATCAAAGAAATGGTGGAGAATGAGGATGGGAAGGTCGAACTGGAGATTGAGAAGGAGCGCCGAGTCATTTCTGAGGATGATAGAAATGTTTTCATTGTTGACAGCCATTTGTCTTATGAGACTGATCGGAGCATGCTTCATATCCGTCGCAGAAAAGGCCAATCAAAGGTTGGCACTGAGCTCTCGTCTCACCACTTGGAGTTTTACATCGGAAACAATGACTGTGAGTTGATTCCGGTGGAACTGAAAGGGCTGTACACAATCAGAGAGGAAGATCATGAAAACTGTGAACAACAGGATGTCATTTTGGACTTCTGCTCCTCTCCTGGGAAGCAGATTGAGGTTGTGGAAAATAAGATTGAGGGCAATTCGGTTGAGAGTGAAAGTTTGATGTTAGAATTCGAAACCAAGGAGCTCAAAAAGATCGATGCTTCCGAAGCTGCAGAATTGGATGAGAATGTCTCAAATCATAAACAAGAAAAGGAAAGCATCCAGCAAGTTGCTGTTACTCAAGCAACCGGGACTTTCGAGGTGGGAAGTGAGGAAGTTCTTCAAGGAACTGTAGAAACGGCTGGAGGATTCGAAAGTTCAGATTTTCACCCAGGTAATTGTTATATTCTAAATAGAACTCGATAGTTTTACTTCAGTGAAATTTGAATGCGAAAATTGAGAATGATTCACGACATATGTAGGAGCCGAAGAGGAGTGTAATTCACAGAACGACGAGACCGATGCAGAGATTTCAATCGGGACGGAGATTCCTGATCAAGAAACAGTCGATGAGATTCATACTGAAGAATCATTCCATTCGTTTCAGTGCACACAGGAAGATCCTTCTACTAGATATGACATTCTCAGTGCTGATTTCGATCACGGTAAGCTTTAAGATTATTTTGCCAAAATGAAGGACTTTGCAAATGGCTCTTCATTTGTTGTTAAGTCTTATACCATTTTTCCTTTGTGGGTTATAGGGTTTATGCAAACTGACGGAAATATCGAATTCCAAACTGTCTCGCTTGGAGTGAGCGAGCAAGAAGATAATGGTCAATTACGATCGTGTATGGAGAGTAATGAGAATATTGAAGATGAGAAAATGCCGGATACACCCACTTCCATTGATAGCCTGCATAGGAGATTACTACTTCTGGACAGGAGAGACTCAGGAACGGAAGATTCTATAGAGTCGTTGGACGGGAGCGTGATCAGTGATATTGAAGGTGGTGAAGGAACTCTCACCGTTGAGAAGCTGAAATCGGCATTGAGATCTGAAAGGAAGGCCTTACATGCATTATATGCAGAACTTGAAGAAGAGAGGAGCGCTTCTGCTGTTGCGGCGAGCCAAACCATGGCGATGATCAACCGCCTCCAGGAAGAGAAGGCCGCGATGCAAATGGAGGCCTTGCAGTATCAGAGAATGATGGAAGAGCAATCCGAGTACGATCAAGAAGCATTGCAGCTTCTGAACGATCTTATGGTGAAGCGAGAAAAGGAGAAGGAGCAATTGGAACAGGAGCTCGAGATCTATCGCCAGAAGGTCGAGGAGTACAAGGCCAAGGAACATATGATGATTGTGAGAAGACACCGAACTTCATCTGCATCTTGTAGCAATTCTGAGGACGGTGACGGGTTATCAGTCGATTTGAATGGTGAGGCGAAGGAGGAGGATGGCCTTTATGGTGACCGAGATGGAAGCCATGAGAAGACCCCAAGTGATGCAGTTGTGTATCTGGACGAGTCATTGGAGGACTTTGAGGAAGAGAGGTTGTACATTCTAGAGCAGCTCAAGGCTTTGGAAGAGAAGCTTTTCGGCATAAGCTATGAAGAAGGACAACGTTTTGAGGACGTGAAGCCAATGATTGGTCATTCCTACAAGGAAAACGGCAATGGCCACAGCGATAACTTGTCGAATGGCGAAGCTAATGGGAATGGAAATGGACATTCCAAAATGAATGGAAATCACCAGGAACACAGGGGACTCGGGGGCCCTAAGGCGAAGAGGCTGCTTCCTCTTTTTGATGCGGTTGGTGCAGAAACAGAATTAGATGGTGAGCTGTGCGGGGACGGACACCGAGCGGAGGACAAGAGGCTTGCGATCGAGGAAGAAGTAGACCATGTATATGAGAGATTGCAGGCTCTTGAAGCTGACAGGGAGTTCCTAAAGCATTGCATTAACTCATTGAGGAAGGGCGATAAAGGATTGCATCTTCTCCAAGAGATCTTGCAACATCTTCGCGATTTAAGGACCGTCGAGCACCGAGTTAGGGACATGACCGACGGCCTAATGCAGTGAAATTTGTTGCCGATGCTGCAACGTAGAAGTCAAGGTGGAGCTCTTGAATCAAATAATCACTTTTGATTAATCATTAGTCTTTGATCCTAAATTTGATATAATGTCAGGTCAGCGTATTGATCGTTATCAAATTTCCCCTGAAAGTTTGCAGATTATGCTATTGGAGTCCATCAGCCGCAAAAAAATCTAAGCAAAATACCAGCGGCCCAGCAGCATTCGGGCAACACCGGACACCGCGGTGAAGTACATTTCATGAACAAATTTTAAGGGATGCACCTTCAGGGAGAGGGAGGCCCCTGGTCCTGGTCTATTTGGTCTCATCTTGGTGGACAATGAGGAAAGAGTCTACCTTCATGTTTTTGACTTTCTTTTTTGTTCTTACTAAAAGCCCGAGTTTTATTTTCTGGGTTATGCCTACCAACACTTTTTGTGCAAAAGGGTGATGGTGGGTGTTATGTGCATGTAGGCTAGTGTGGGGGATGAAACACCCTGTCATTTGGAGTTCTTTTTTCTTCTTCTTCTTCTTCTCTGCTGTCCTTTTTTGTTGTAATGTTATAGATCTGTCATTTGGAGGTTGTGAGAGTAGGCGTGGCTTGCATAGCTGGAGAGATCCAACCAAGATTCCAGTGCCAGTTAGGAAGTTGTAGAAATAGGACACTCTTCTTTGGTTCATTCCTTTATGGCCTTCATCTGTTGGGAAGCTAGGGGAAAAGTAAAATCATCCCCCTATCTTCTCATCATTGCATCAGTTCCATCACATGAGGGGTTGGTTTTTTAATTATTCTGAGGAGCTTATGAAGTTGACTCTACTTGTGTACCGCTGTGTACTCATATCATCTGTAAGTATGTAATGGTGTGTGTGTTTTTTTCCTTTTGTTTTTTACTGTCTTGGAGTCTACCTACTTGTCTTGTATATTCTTCGGTTGTAAGTTTCTGAGGACATGAAGACTCATCCAAAAAGATTATCATTAATTATTCAGAGGAAGCAAGCATTGCTGTCTGTCAATGTGGATTATGCTTTAAGCATAAAACAACTCTTGGTTGGTGTAGAAAAAAACAACAATCAAGTACGGTGGAACCATCCTCTCGTGAACAGATATCAATGATAAGGAAAGCAACAGCATTCAGCTCAGATAAAAAGAAAAAAAGCACAAGAATATGCACCTATAAGCCCAGTTGTACATGTTTTTGATGTACATCATCTTAAACATATATATAATTATGGATAATGTACTCCGACTTATGATTGATCAATTCTATTAGACTTGGTTCATGAAATTTTTCAATCTTTTAATTAAGGTATAGCCAAAGAGAGTAAATTTGTTGGCCGCCTCTTTGCTCCCTTTTTCAACTGTCAAAGCTCGTCTTTTGGCCTCAAAAATAAAATGGCTGCAGTCATGGGATACCTACCTACTCATGATCTAGAGATGCTCGAAGGTCATCAAGCATAGGCTAGGTCAACCTTTAACTTTTAGGACTCCTCCCTGAGCATTGCTAAAATTGAAAGGACAGCAGAGATGATGGATTGATATTAACATCTTTAAGTCCTTCGAAAAAGTAATTTAGAGTGCGAACGGTAACCATTCTGCTCCAGAAATCAAATTCTTGCCAGAAATTGATTTCTGAAATTTTTGCCAGAAATTGATTTCTGGAGGAGAAATCTGTTTAGTAAAACATGACTAATTCTGCTCCAGAAATTGATTTCTGGAACAAAAATCTGTTTTGATTTGTTGATTTTTTTTGCACCTAAAAAAATTTAAATTTTACTTAAAGTGGATGGTCACAGGTATTATAAGATATTCTGTAACGTTTTGAAATTTTTGATTTTTTTAATTTTTTTTTGGACACCTAAAAAAATTTAAATTTCACTTAAAGTGGATGACCACAAGTATTCTAAGTCATTTTGTTAAGTTTTGAATTTTTTATTTTTTATTTTTATGGGCACCTCAAAAAATTTAAATTTTACTCAAAATGGGTGGCTACAGGTATTTTAAGCCATTTTGTAAAGTTTTGAAATTTTTTATTTTTTTTTATTTTTTTTGGCACCTCAAAAAATTTAAATTTCACTCAAAGTGGGTGGCCACAGGTATTTTAAGCCATTTTATGAAGTTTTGAAAATTTTATTTTTATTTTTATTTTTATTTTTTTTTGGGCACCTAAAAAAATTTAAATTTCACTCAAAGTGGGTGGCCACATATGTTTTAAGCTATTCTGTGAAGTTTTGAAATTTTTGATTTTTTTTTTATTTTTTTTAAAAAATTCACCAAATTTCATATTTTCCCGAAATCTGACTTTTTTTATTTTCTGGAAATTTTTATGAATTTTTCTAGAATTTTTGAATTTTTATGCATTTTCTGAAAAAAAAATATATATGAGAAAATAGGGAGAATGCATTCCGGAATCAAGAAGCTACAAAAAGTAGCTTCTCTTTTTCTTGCCAAAAACTCATTCCGAAATAAAAAATGTATTTCGGAATCAAGAATGCATTCTGGAATCAAGTATTTTTAACAAACGCATTTTTATTCCAGAATGCAAAAATCGCTCCAGAATGCATTCCGGAAATTTTTTAACAAACGCCATTCTGTTCCAGAATGCATTCCGAAACAGAATTTTTATTCCGGAATGCATTCCATGCGCACTCTTAGTGGCATGACCTATTAAACCAGTTCTCCCTCGACGTGTGGATGTGGGTACGCATTGAAGATAGAAGATATTGATTTTATATCTATATTGTATTTTGGTAAGTATGCAAAGTAACGTGTACGCAGCATAAAAATCCAATATCTGTGAGTCAAGAGGAGATTCTGATTTTTTTTTTAAAGATTATGAGATAAATATAAATGTGATGATTTTATTTCTATTGACAATATCTGTGATTATGTGTCAATAGAAATAAAACCATGTTTGATTTCAAAGGTTCTCACTGTCCAATACAAATAATCTTGGATTCATTAGTATCTAGGTAGTTTGATTCAAGTAAACACATTAATTGGGTTCCTATAGTCTTCTTCAGCGTATAGCAGTTGCGTTTGATTCGGTTTTGGGGATATGTTATTTCCCCAAGGATCTTTGAATGGAGGTGGATTTGCAGAAAGGAAATGGCGTTTGGTTGATGTACTTTTTGTGTAAAGCAACATTGAAGTCAAAAAAAAAAATTGAAAAAAAACAAAAGAGAAAAGAGAGGGCGAGCAAAGGGACTCTGGGCAACTTTCGGAAGCAACTGTCAGCCAGGTGAGCATCGACCGACGACCCTTATTGCAGCAAATCTCATCGCAACCCTTGTCGAAGCTTAACAAAAGCACCGGGCGACAGAGGTCGACAAAGCTTGGCGAAGCTGAAGTGAGGCCCATCACCGAGATCGCGACCCCAGGCGAGGGTTGCTGAGGTCGAGCGACCCAGGGGACGAGCCGTTGGGGTTACGCAACCTTAGGCGAGGCGACGCCAAGGTCGCACGACCTTGAGCTTTCCGGATCTATCCTTGACGGTTGGCGCAACTTGAGGCGTGGGCCACTGAGTTTGCGCGACCTTAGGCGAGCTAAATATGGACTCCAGTGGTAAGCGAGCCAGGTGGCAAATCTAGACTCTGACATCGTGCGAGCCAGACAACAGGTCGCCGAGGCCGCACAACCCTAGGGGACGCGATGCTAGTGTCACGCGACCTTAGGCGACCTCAGGCCGGTGTCCGTCCAACTCTAGATAAGATGAACGGTTTTGAAGGCAAGATAGATATAATTAATTAGGCCTAATTTCGAAAAAAAGCCCCAAATTACCTTGAGTGACGATCATGGCCCGAACTTTTTTTTGTCTCAAGGTAAAGTTTGTGCTTTTTTTTAAAATTAGCTCCAATTAAATATAAGTGGGGGCAATTTTGGAAGGAAAAAATTAATCAAGTCCATTACTTTCCAGATCTTCAAAATCCATTGAATTTGTATATCTTCATCTTGGGCGAATTTGTGTTCAATTTTATTCGATCCGAAAAGCCCAAAATCCAGATCACATAAAACCTAATCCCACTCGTCCATAATACCATGATGGATATTTTAAACATTGAAAATGTAACATATGCCAGCCTAGACAAGTTCGTGGTTAAAATACGTCGAAGTTGGATTTTCGAGGAGATAAATCACGAGAAATCCAATTCGAATTTGAAGATCGAAATCTATAGGATTAGGTACACATGTGACTAATGATGAAAGAAGGAGCATGGGATCGATAAAGCATATTTGTGATTGTGGGGGTTCCCTTTTTCCTTGTTTTTGCCGAAACATTTCACTACGAGGTCAATTAAATTCGGTAGAACGAGGGAAAGAAACATTTCAATTTCGATTTGAGTGTGACATCTCTAGATAACAAATAACTCTTCATCGATTATTAACTCTTAAATTTAAATTTCTTGCTCTTAATGTACTAGAGACGAAGAACCGACGAGGTCCAATATGCAAAAACTGACCCCAAATGTGCAATATTTGAATAAAGAAAAAATCAAGTCACCTAACTGAAGATGTCCTAACAGGATCCTCCACGTGCAATTAGCAAAGTCCCACGTTGTCATTTCAAAGCCCCTTGGCACCTTTTGGGCACGAGAGGCAGCTAAGGACAGCAAGTGTTGGCACTAATCATTCTTCATTGTTGGATCACTTTCGGCGATGCTTCAATGGAAAGGTTAATGATATAACCCAATTCGTGTTTTGTTTGTGTTTCGTTTGTTTATGTTTCTTTTTCTGTGAGAGTGGTATGACCCAATTGATCACGCTCCTTTGGCCAATTAATTAGTTCAACAATGTCTCTTCAAGAAAAGGGTGTTAGGTTTTGTGCTTTTATCATTGCTTCAAGCTGCTTTTACACGAGCCTAAACCACCTAAAGTTTTGCTTTCCAATCTAGGGTAATCCTTCCTCGTTGCGAGCTCGAAGTGTTGCGAAGGTAAACTTGAGTAATTTCAATGGCGTTTGAAAGCTTAAATGAAAAGAGCGCGGGCACATAGCCAAGATGATCGGAAGTTTAGAACATGTAAACAACAAGAAGGGCACCCGGATGTAACCGATGTCTCCTTTGGAGACGTAACATATCTGGTTCAAACCAATTTTGTTAAAAACAAAATTAAGTTATTGGGCACAAGTCAATTAGCTATATTGATTTCTTCCCTTGACTTCGGTATTTTATCTTTTTACTTAAATGATATGATTGGGCCGGCTTCTCTTAACTCGAACAATTCAATGTTGATTCTCTTTTCTACTTAAGTCTTTGTCCAAGAACCTAACAAATCCATCCTTTCATTTGTGTGCCAATCACACTAGGCAAATAATTAATAAGTCAGGTATATAAATACATGTATAAATACTTTAAAAATAGCATCTAAAATTGACACCCAGGACTTTAGATATCTAGAATGGCCTCTTTGCATTGCAAGAAATGGATTTACTTCATTCTACTTAAACAAAAAAAGAAAAATCCCACCTATGCGCCACCTAAGCAAATCAACAAATCTATATAGAGCAGATGTCAAAGCGGATGTCAAACGAGAGGATATAAGATGGCACGTCGACTTTAGAACGAGTTGAGGGCAGTGGATTTTAGACAATTTTGCTTATGTGGCAAGGGAGGTGTATATCGTGGATGCCGTGGGAGCATTGAGTTTTATCGATCAATTCTCAAGTTCAAATCAGATTTCGTCGATTAATCCAACTCAATCATTACTCTTGCAATCAAAAACATAATATAGCCATAGCGTGATTCAATGGGTCCAAATTTGAATAACTCGATTCTATGTGCTAGTTGTGGACTCATAAGACTAGTTATCGATTACATGGTTGCCGATCAACTATCAAGATATCGACTTTCAAGTTTGTTATTGATTTTGAGGTTACTCATTGACAATACTAGAGACTGTTTTGGTCGATTTCTATCGCTGTATGTTGATCTTCCTAGGTGTTTATTCAACTGCCAAGACCAGTAAGCGTATTTGGAGATTCGAGTAAAGTTACAATGCACCTAAATCTTAGTTAGAT